AATGTTATATTAAATACTTCCGATATTAGTTAGGTTAAGACTCTTTTGAATAGTTTGGTAAAGAAATATCGTTCTCACTTTTCTTTTCTGTGAATGACAATTCTTGTTTTTTTTTGTCTCGTAAAATATTTGAACCTACACCCTTGTCAGTGTGTCGTGCGCGGAATAAACATCCTGTATATTAGGGTACATGCTATTCATGTGGGCACTACAATGCGTTCCAAATAAGAACGTGACGAACCCGTGACGTGTTGTGACGTCATAACTCTCAAATCAATAAAGATAGTCATAACTTCGCAATGTCCGAGTTCAAAATATTAAAATTCAATGTCAGTTTTTTTTTACACATGTTTCGGCAACTTAAAAATTCTCAATTGAACATATTCCCACAACAAAATTATATCGATATATTGCTAAGTGAGCGAAATTAAAAATTGATTTAGACGCATTGTGTGCCTCGTAACGACCTCTCAGCGGTCATTGCGACCTATTAATGACCTCTTATGACCCGCCCGTGTCACCTTATATTATTAATAGGCGGCTTATTAAACGGCCCACGATACCACTTAGATTTTCTCTCGTTACACAATTTTCAATGCTACAACAAAACACAATTACCCATTTCCATTGCTGAAACATCTGTTTAGAAATATATTATAATCTTTGTTTTTTCTATGCGAGTGAAAAGGATGGCAACTTGTTTTATATCTTCTTCTATATATATTAAATCAATTGCTGTTCGTTAGTCTCGCTAAAACTCGACAGCTGAACGTATTTATCTTATCTTGGTCTTGAAATGTTCGTGGAGGTCTAGGGAAGGTTTAAAAGGTGAGACAAAGAAAAAGGTGTCGCGGTCGACAGCTATTCTAATATAAAACATACAACTGACATTATGTAAACAATAACTGGAGTCACTAAGTCCATGGCAGACCAGCGCTACTGTCCTACTGTACTGGCTTAATGTAAACACGGCGTTACGATAGATCTTGTCTGTTGCCTCACAAATCCCATTGTGAAGACGAGTAACGTTAGATGCATATTCATTACAGAGTTAACACAAACATTATCTTAATCAAACTGTTAATTACTGGTCAGTTAACCGCTGTACACACCTGCATATCTAATTTAAACCACTCGGTTAACTTAATGCAATTGCTATATCATTTATACATAACTAGCTGTCGCCCGCGAATCTGTCTGCGCGGCATTAAAAAATAAAATAAGTATAGCCTCTGTACTTCCAGATTATGTCCTACAACTATGTTAAATTTCATCTAGGTTGAGCCGTTTTTCATACATCTAAACTTTCGCATTTGATCAGATCTTGTTTTAAGTTTGAAAAGCACGAAAAGTCATTTTGGTCAAAATCTACTTAGATGTTATATGTTGGACATAGTATTTTACAACGTAAATCCCCTGAAGTAGTAGAATCCGTAAAATCCACACCACTTTCTTCCCTCGAGTTGAAATCTGTTCAGTGAAGTAGAAGGCATGTATTGTAATCCATAGCAAAGCCTTTTATGACCCAAATACACAAGTGTGAATACGTTTTTTATGTTGGAATTCGCAAGCATTAAACGTTACAGATATAGGGAGATATTTTGTTTTATGAATTTTAAATTTATACTAAAATTAGTTGAATATCGTAGTCAACTACTGGTTACTACTGTTAGAAAGCAAATCCGACACTGTGCCGGTGTACAGCACAACACTAGCCTTACTAAAATGTCGACATCTATGTCCCCTCACTAATCATTCTGACACTTGACTTTGCAATGCAAGTGCGCCATTCGCGCCTAAGGATTGTAATTACTAAATGTCTAAATCTATTATATTATACTAAAACAGATATCCTTTTTTGTGTAAACAGAATATTTTCAACGATACTATTAATCAAATCTTACTATCTTACTAATACCGTAAATGCGTATGTTTAGATGGATGCATGTTTGTTTCTTTTTTTTTATAACAGAAGGGGGCAAACGAGCAGCGGGAACACCGAGGTATCTTTAGAACGGCTGCAGGGATCTTGCTGAACTTTGGCATAGATGTAGAACGTGGTCTGGAAGAACACATAGGCTAATAATTGAGTTTTTTAAATTCCGCACAGACGATGTCGCGGGCGATGGCTAGTTAAAAAAAAACAAAGAAACGTTGTATTAATAGTCAATTTAAACGACCGTGGGTATGTTTTAGGTGTGGTCGATTAAGTCGTGGTATTGACGGACCATTATGTGGCAACCGTTCGCCGAGGGGCATAAATCTGACCGGGGTCCATTTGGCACACTCGTCGCAACTAGCACGGACCGTTGGTTGCTTGGGTGACGATTTTTTTTTTAGCAACCAAAGGTTACATTGGACAAAATAAACTTGTGTATGTTTTCGAAAAAGAAAATCACTTTTTTATTGAAGACTCCTACGATATTTGATTTATGTATAGAAATTACAAATTAGAACCCAAAACTTTTTATTGGTAATTTGAGAGAAAGGGGATATTACCCTATCTTTTGCGTCCCCGCCTCTGCAAAATTGACCTCTCCTCCTCATCCATTTCAAGAAAAGGCTTCATTGGTTGCTAAAAATCTTCACTTGTGTCAAATTAAAATCAAACCTGTGGATACGTATTACTTCATATCAAACTTAACTATAGTAATATTTAATTATTAAATTCAGTATTTTACATATAAATCAAACGAGAAATTGTTATAGAAATTTATTTGTAACTATTTTATCTAGTTAAAGCCACAGTCTCAATATCGCTAGCAAATGATTTCATTACAGATGTACTGTTCGACATACATAGACTCCATCGCGTACACACTATATGATGCAATCTAATCATAACGTCCCCCCACCAGGGAGTGGAGGGGAGAAGGGGAGGTCTCCTCCCCCAGCATCTCGCGAGTCTGCATGACGACTTTATTTATGATGTGTTTTAACAACTCACTACAAGTTTCATTATGGCGTGAATATTCAACGCTTTAGTGCTTGCGAGTGAATCGATTCCTGGAATTGTGATATTTTACGTTTTAATAAGGCGTTGATATCGTCTATATTTAGAATTGTATTTATTTTTAGTATATGTACTTTTACTATTCTTTTCATCCTTCGAAAGATTATATTTAATTAAGTACTATATGTTCCAATAAACAATAAATGTTTTGAACGATTCAATTAGTATAGTATGAAACGATTTATGTCTTTGATGTCGAATCCACAAATTTAAAAAGGTATAGAAAGAGGACTTTGGTAAAGACGTAACTTTTGTCCTAAAGATTCTTAAAATATTATTCTAGTTACTCTGGTGATGCCGTGAAAATACGTGAATATTCATCAATTTTTTTTTAAAGACAGAAAGGAAATCCAGGATAAGAGACAAAAATTACTGTCAAGTCTATAAAACATTGCAGTTTCTTATATAAAAATGTTAAAATATTTGCAAACGTTTGGAGTTGCTCTCGGTTGCACGTGAGGGAGCACTCGACGGCCGGGTTGTCTCCGGAAAATGCAAATCGTAAGTGCTATCCACGCTGTATCGCTTTAAAACAGATGCATTATACGTTTCGTTAATGACAACGCTTCAGTGATGAGATGTCTACCAGAGCTATAGCAAGCAATAGTGCCCGCTTTGTTACACACATAATGGTAGCTAATTTCTTTTCAACGGCTTTTAAGAACTTTACAATGAAATATTCTGACCGATATAAAACCTTTTTTTAAACTTGATGCAGACAAAGGTGGATTACGTAATACTAAATCTAGGTTGTGCTTATGGAATTTAATTTTTACTTATTTTTATGTCGTCTTACTTCTTATTTCTTACTATCTTACTTTAGATGGATGGATGTTTGTATAAAGATATCTACATAACGGCTGAACGGATCTCGATGCCTTGGTACACCTATTGAACATAGTCTGGAAGAACACATAGGCTCCTAATAATGTTTTAATTTTTAATTCCTTGCGGACGGAGTCGCGAGCGACAGCTAGTGTTATAATACATTTTCCGCGACATTTAAATCGCACAGTCCTGCTTCTACATTTCTCTTGTAATAATTTTCCAACAAACTTTTGTTCGAACAATTTGTTTTTCAATATCTGAGTCTATTTGTGTGTTTAAAGCGAAGCATGGGCGGTCAATGCGGGCCTGATCGGGCGTGCTACGAGCATCTACAACGTCCGACTCATTACGTCCACGTTGTAATGTAACAAATGGTTTGCCAGCCCTGGCGGCTGCTGGCGACAGCGCGGTTTGCACTCTCAGACATTTTTATTTACGACCTCATTCGATTGTTTTAAAACGAACTACGTTTATAGATTTGTAAGAATAGAACCAGTTAAATGCATTTAACATTTCTCTTTTAATACCTAAACTCTAGTAATTCTAACTTTAGTATCTTTAAAGTTCTTCTAATGCCTCTCCATTGGATTGTATCTTACTAGTATTATAAATGCGAATACGTTGATGGAGGGATGGATGTTGGAAAGTATCTCCAGAACGGCTAGTGTCATATTATGTTGACTAATTTGAATTTTAAAACACAGTAACACAACAGTATGCCACATTTGCTATTTTTTTGCAATGAGGAAAAATGAATACCTCGTTATGATTTTTCGAGTCTAGTTTCTTTCTTAAACATTGCAAAATAGCAGCTTATTCTAAGAAAGATAGAATAATTTGAATACAAACAATAAGAAACAGAAAGCTAATTGCAAAAATGCAATTTTTATGTATTACTTATTATAATTTTGACGTCGAGTATAGTGCGTCAGTAATCAAGTACATATGTAATTTACTCATAGAGTATGAATAATCCAATATGGCTTAGTATTCTAAACACGTCCATATTTGCGACTGACTGTCGCTCGAAACTAGATCATTTTCTATCCGTGCCAACGATTCACCATCTCTGGGTTTATGTGCATAATTTTTGTTATTGTTAATTCTAGAAATGAAACTAAATGTAGTCTTTTATTAATATTACTTTCTTTTGTTTCAGGTCCTTCAGCTACGTAGATGGAGAAATAAATTCGCTGTTACGTTTCATCTGTAAAAAAATAAACTTATGTCTACAAAAATTTTATGGTTTGTAAGCTATACTATATTCAAGAGGAAGGGGATAAATGTAGATGTCTCTTGAAAATAATTCTATATTGTATGTTATATTGTATGTTATATTGTAGTTATATGTCTTTACCATGTATAAACTTAATAGGAATCGTTCCTGTATGATTGAGTAACAAACATACGTTCAAACATTCACATTTACAGTATTAGTAAGATAAATTTAATAGTGATACCGTCACCAGTATTTGCTGAACGAATAGCCCCGATGTAACCACGATCACATAGAAGACGCGTTACTTGCGACATAAACTAGCATTTCGTCCGATGTTTTTGTATTCCGGAGGCCAATTCTAATCCATTTTCCCTACCAATTCTTTTGTAATAAGAAAAGGACGAGAAGGAGATAAGCAAAGAGGATATAATTTCTTAGTTTCCAGACAACCTGATGTTTCAATATTATGTATCATTTTCTGCATTTTATATTGTACTGTCACATATAGAATGCAGGAATATGTTCAGCGACGATGAAGTAGAGAAGAAGTATACAGAAGTAAGAAGAATTAAGAAGAAAGGAAGAATGTAATACAGTATACTATGACGCGCCCTTGTCATTCTTCTTGCCCCGTGTGTTTATACTACTGGACGGAGAACTGATAAGGGCATGTCATGTATAACAGCGTCGGTTAAGAAGAAAAAAGAAACGAAGAGAAGATTCTTTTGTGTTTATGTAATATTTTTAGGATGTAAATGTTTGAGTAAATAAATAATTCGATTTTATTTGTATACAAACTTCTTATTTTTAAACTTTTTTGTGAAATTGTCTGATACGTTTAATAAAGTTTATAACCTACTAATGTGTTTCTTTTACTCATACAGTAGTCGAAATATAATATGAAGAAAACGTCAAATCCTAGTTCATAACTTAAGATTATAAAAACTAAAACTTTCACTAGACACGTAATGTTCAAGTGACCTCCATATCTAATATAATAAGTTTGAGTTGCCGTCTTTATATAGGATATAAGATGAAATAGATAAAGACAGGACAATGTGGACATGGGAGCGTCGGTGGCTCAGTGATCAAGCACTTGACTAGCAATCTGCAGGTCCTGGGTTCGAATCCCGCCGTGTACCAATGTGTTTTTCGATTCACATATGTACATTTATCCGACGTTCTTACGATGAAGGAAAATATCGTAATGCAACCTGCACATGTCTGAGAAGAAATTCAAAGATATGTGTGAATGATGATGAATGTTGACTTCGGCCTAGTCATCCCTAACTTAAGATAGGCTCCGAGACCTTCAGTGTAGACGTATAGGGAGCTGATGATGATTAAAAGTACAATTGAACAACATATCCAAGATAAGAATTTGTTAAAAAATATGTCTAGACCATTACTATTATATGTAGGAATTGTGGCGAATAACGAACACATTTCATATCTAGAACTACCGTGGGACACTGGATAAACAAAGCTTAAAACTAAGGACCTGTTTTAAAATGACCAAATAAAGTGCTGGATAACTAACGTATAATATCTGGATAGGCAGTATTATGTGAGTGAGATTGAGAAACGCTAATGACTTTATTTGACAAATAGGTTACAAATATTTTGTCAGGGACTTACGTGGACATAGAACAGGCCTTTATATTAACTCATATACAGTATGTTTAAAAAAAAAACTAAAACAGAAGTGCACCGGAGTGTATATTTTAATCAAATAAAATTTATTTGAAAATGGAACTATATTTGAAATAAAAATGAAATTGATTGACACGAAGTATCCAGGGCTGTATAAAGTAAACACTAGAACTGAAAATTCTAGATAAAAATATTTTATTCATAAATAAATATAATTTGAAACTCAACCAGTCAGTTATTTGAACTTTTACCTATTTCGAATTAATTCTACGTAATTGAAACTTTGTTTTACCAAACCACGCTTAAAGCATGCCATACACGGTCGACTACAAGCGGCTTTGGGCAATCTGCAGTTGACATCGTACTATACACGGATCACAATTTACAATCTTCACGAAAATACGCTGACCGTATATGCTGGAAGCGGTCCGTGTACAGCGTTCTTGATAAAAAATAACCTGATACAGTTGAACTTTGACTTTTGCTACAAATGTCGAATGTATTGTCATTTCCAACTTTTGCATTCAACTTTCTTCGCTTAAGCTCTTATTTTAATGAGTTTGTATGAATACTCTTTTATATTTAGCTCATCGAGGCAGAAAGAGATAGCTAAAAATATCTCAATTTCACTCATCTAAGTATTACTATTATTACTTCTTAATATACACATAAACTAACCGTCGCGCGCGACACCAACCGCGCGAAATTAAAAAAAAACTTAATTAGTAGCCTACGTGTTCTTTGCCAAATTTTAAGGAGATCCATCAAAACTTAAATACATTCGCGTTTATAATATTAGTTAGAAATAAATGCAAACTAAGACAAAATAATGTATGAAATCGAGCGCTCTCGTTTGGAAGAATAGAAAATAAAGAAATATTTCTAAGTAGTCAAATTTTACCTTTAAAATGGACCTAAGAAAAAAATTACTAAAAGGAGTTACTGTACATTTGTACAGCACATCTGTGCTTAGAAAATATCAAAGCAACAATTTTATTACTAATTGTGACAAATCACTCAGCGCCATCTAGTAACTGAGGATAGTTTTAAGGATCTAATAAAATAAGAACACTGAAACTATTGTGGGTTTCTGAGATCAAATTAAAACATAGTATGACTGTAATCTTGGACAAAACAGAGATAACATGTTTTAAACGAGGATTTTGACTCAGCAACCTACTTTTAAAGAAATATACTGGGACTAGAATTTATTTTAATTAATATTAATTTTGTTTTAATCGTAAACCTTTATTATAAACCTAGACGCAGTATTTCATTGTTATCCTTGGCCAAAGGTTTTTAACGTTAATGAAATGGTACGTGATAGGAATATTTAAAAAGTAAAAAGTTACGCCTCCATAAAATCTATGTTCAGCTGTTTATTCAAAGTAGACTAATTTCAAATAAAATAACTAAATTAATTTGTGATCACAAGAATCCGACGTTATCTTACGGTGAAGGAAAACATCGTGATGAAATCTGCACATATCTGAGAAAATTCAAACCGCACTGAACCAGCGTGGTTGACTGTGGTTTAGTCACACCCAGCTTTGGGTTCGCTCCAAACCCCTCAGTGGGGGATACAGAGCTGATTTTTTAATAAAAAAAGGGTAAACAAGCAAGGTCCACTTGAATCCCCAAAATAGCAAAGTAATCGTAGACTCATAGTCATCTGCATTTTCATATGCGTTACCTTTAATTGACAGAGTAAAAGACACACAGAAAGGACATTTACGGAAAGGAAATTCTTAAAAAAAAACTTATCAACTACGAATGAAAACTGCATACTAGTCAAATAGTGAAGAAACGATTAACCAAAAGTCGCAATACGATAATCATTTCTTCTACTGAGTTTTTAATAGTGTCGAATCTCTCATTACTTCCTGAATCGCTTTCAAATCGATTTATGAATTGATCCACAATATAATACTTTAATATAAATATAATTAGCTTAAAATATACGTAATAAAGAACACTAAATGCTTTCCAAACTGGCTTCCAATCCTCCCGCATGATGGCAAGTCGGGGGACGCACTAGGGATGTGCGGGGGCGGGGGTGGTTGTCACAATGGGCCGCTGCTCCGGACGCCTCTAATTGGTACAGCCCTAGGCATTCCCGACTCACCGGATGCGCATTTTTCTAGATTCCCGCGAACCACGGAGACGTCGTTAGGTCTACAACTTTTAATGATCCATAATACTTTAAAATATAAAATTTAAGTAAGAATAAATTAGTATATTTCTTAGAAATGAAAACTTCTAAGCATGACAATTGAGTAGGGTGATTTATAAAAGCTATTCATCTGTCGAAATTCAAATAAATTTAAGTATGAAGTGAGTTTTGGACTTAAGATAAAATAGACAAGTCGATTTTTTTTTAAATAATACATTGAAGAAGCAACGTATTGTTTGTAGCCATTTAAAAAAAGCCACAAGATCTACATAAGTAACTATAACGATCTTATTAAATATCGAGACATAGACATATTTATATAGTCGACGTCTCTATTCATGAAACGTTGCATATGGACGTGAGTTTCTTTGTCCAAAACATTATATTTTTTGTCTCTTTCATTTATTTGAAAACAACAGGGACAACAGTATTTATTATATCTCTAAATAAATATTACAACTACTCCACTGCATCTCTGTTCGCTAAAAGTTGAGAGGCGTATGTTTTTCTTTAAAATGGAGAAAAAAAACGTAAAATAATATCTTAATAACGAAAATATATGCATATAAGTAGGTATGTCCGTATGTAATTTGATTTAATACGAGTATCATGTTTTTTTTAATTTTCAACAACCAAGGGTTGTTTTCATGACAATGCATTTTCTCTATTGAAATCATGTTATTTCGTAGCCGAGACATAAAGAATAGCAAATTATATTATTAGCTTTCTAATATTGAAAGCAAATGTAACAAATACAGATATTTATAAATATACTAGCTGTCGCCCACGATTCCATCTGTGCGGGATTATAAAATAAATAGTAGCAGATTCTCAGACCTTCTGAATATACATGTAAACCTTTAAGAAATTGGTCAAGTCGTTCCGTAGGATTATAGTAATTAACGATATAACACGAGAATTTTATTTATAAGTAGACTAGCTGTTTTGAAAAAAAAGAAACTTAATAAGTAGCTTATGTGTTCTTCCATACTATGTTCTACATCTATGCCAAATTTCAGCGAGATTGATTGAGCCGTTCTGGTGATACCTTCAAACAAACATCTAAACTTTCGCATTTTAAAATATTATTATATTATAGTAAGATATTATCTAGGGGATATTGAATCAACGATTTATTAACAAAAGAGTTTAATTACATTTTATAAAATTGAATATTGTATACAAATTGCCGATGGGCAATTTAACGCATCTTTTGCGGTCTACACATTAAGTGCATTCACAGGTTCATATCCGTTGCAAATTGGAAACAGCGCTATGACCAGCGGC